TGTGCGGATACAAATTTTCGTCAACGATATCGGGAACACGGATGAAACCATTTGAGTAATTCGAAAAACATTCGATTCGTATTGATAAGACGTGTTGATTAGTTTTTGGCGAAAGCAGGTCTAGCCGTTCCGAAGATATGAGGCAAAAAGTGCCAAAACCGTAATTCAGTTTTTAAGAGAACGGAGCGTCCGATTTGAATAATTCAAAAAACATTTTAACAAGATGAAAAACTGATCAAATTTTCATGAAGGCAAGTCTAGCGGTTTTGGAGATCTATTAAAAAAAGCCATTTGGCGGTCAAAAATGATCATTAGACATCTGCACATCAAATTATCAGATATTTTATAGAGATTTTAACAATGAGTATAAATTTTGTTTACATTCCTGTGGGTTCCGTACCAATGCTTATCCGTTAGACGGCGGCGCGGCGCTTACGCGTATCTATAATTCGTCTCTATGCAGTTAAAGCAGTACGACTGCTTTGAAAAAAAGTTCAGAATTTCCAAAATATTTCAAAATAAATTTTTCTTCAAAAAGTCTTTTTTTTTTCAAAAAAAAGTAAATTTTTGTCAAAAATTTATAGTTAATCTTTATGTTAATCTTTAAAAAAAAAAAATTCATATAAAATTTATTATTCTTTCCAATTTTTTCGTCCAGCTCTGTAAGCCGCAGGGTTTTTGGATGATATATTATTATATAGCTGTTCTTAAATTTCGGGTCGCATATTACATATGAAAAATTGATAAACCGGATCTCGTAATTTTCTTGGTACATCGTCCACATGCGTATTTTGAATTTGTTCTTGTTTTATTTTCATAATTTAAATTACACGGTTTGATCAGATAACGGTCTCGCCTTTGCCAAATTCGGTTCCGTCCAACAAGATTTTGACAAATATTACGCATGAGACTTTGTTTATGATAATTACATTTTTGGCAACTTCTTTATGTAAAGCTGAAAAGCTGAAAAGCTGAAAGATCGATTTGTTGTTGGTGCAATTTATGCATATTGATTTTAATTTTTGGCACAGTTTAGAATCTCACAAGTTCTAGTAGAAGCTTGTGTCACCTGCTATATTACTTTTTACCTTTGCTGGGATTCCAGTGATATCATTAGAAAAATCGCAATCCTCGTTTGAAGGGCATTCACACTTGTTGTGAAGATTCGCGTTGATTTTACGGTTTTAACGCTCCGAGTTATATTTCAATTTAGAAAGTATCAAAGCGCTTCTAATCTTCTGAATAAACATCAAATTGTGCGGAACACTCGGGCAAGCGTTAGATCACCACTGTTTCCTTAATATTTTATAAGTTTACTAAAACGTTCTTGTTATTTAGATCAGTGGCTCTCGACGAATTCTAGGGAAAGGTCACAAAATATCGCAAACGAGATTTGTTGACTGAAAAAGTCAGGTAGTAAAAAATTATCGCTTCATTGTATATACTTATATGTATATGAATTTTGTTTTATTTTATTATTATAAGAAATTTGTTATTTATATTCTTGCGGTTAAGAGAACTGGCCTTGATTCAGGGGTCCCGGGTTCGAGACCCCTTCGAGCAGCCTGCTGTCAAGCGGTAGTGACAACGGTTTTCACTTGGAAATATAGATAGCAATATGTTACCAAGAGAAAATATCTCTTGTCCGGCACCAATAAAAAGTCAGCCCTATTAGATTAATTCTAATAATAAAATCATCAAATATAGTGGGTTAACCATTGGGTTATCGTCTAAAAATACGAAGTAAGAAGTTTCAGCCCGACAGCTCATAGGACGTAAGGTTTTAATGCTGCTAAAAAATAATAAAAAAAATATATATATTCTCGAATTTTCGCGCCATTCTGAATCGTTTGACACTAAAATTGGAGCATGTGTTTATGTATATGCAACCAATGTTTGAAATTTTGCCGGCTATTTCTTAAAAAAAATGATGCACCAAAAATTGAAAAACCATTTTAATAAACTCAGTCGTAAAATGGTAGAATTCGTGGTCTTAAATTTAGACCATTGGTGTCGCGACCCATAGTTTAAGAAACTATGATTTTTTATGAATATTCTTAAGATATATAGACCCAATTAATTAATTACACTCGGTTTTTGGTAAATAATTTGAAACCTTTAACTAGTTGTCTAATGTCATTAATATGTTGCAATGCAAAAAGAAA